CTTTTTGAGTTTTAGTCAACTAAAACTTTTACATATAGTAATGACTAAAATGTGACTAAGACTAAGACTGAAGAGGAAACCTGTGATGGTTGTCAAAAACAAGACTGTATGGAAGTTGTTTTGCTGATTTTGGCTCCGGGATCCGCTTTCTAGAGCAACATGGCCATACAGTACACAGGCCGTTTGCTTTTGGTTGAAATTTGCTCCTTAGTCTGTTTCTGCAAGACTGTTTCAAAGCCATAAGGGCAATGCGAGAACAAAGAATCCTTACTTTATGCCTTTTGCTTAATCCTTAATTTTTATGCTTCAGAATGTGTTAAAATGCCAGGATAATAGAGATTCCCACAATTTGTCCCACGACAAACTCAAAACTTTAACTGATTTGATCAGTTTTTTTATTCAAAAGTAACAAAGTAAAATGAAACAATTTCTTTTCTATGTTAATTTCTACTCAAAAGTGGAAAACTAACTGCATATCACCATGAGTACACTATTGTCATGACGAAAGATGGCGTTGGTGGCATCATGCAGTGAAGATTCTTTTCCTATGAAGAAGAAGGACTGGGCTCAATGCAGAGGCTGAAAAGACTCTAGAACAGGCATGTCTAAAGTCAGTCCTCAAGGACCATTGTCCTGCAGGTTTTAGATGTTACCCTGCTTCAGCACAGTTGATTTCCATTGATAACTGGTTAACAGGCTTTTGCTGATTTGTAATAATCAGAATCAGCTGTGTTGAAGCAGAAAAACCTCTAAAACCTGCAGGACAGCGGCCCTCGAGGATCGACTTCGGACATGCCTGCTCTAGAATATGGAGTGGGTTCATCTTTCAGCAGGAAATGGACCTTAACCATGCGAGTTAGAGCTGTAATGGAAATCATTACATTGGTGGATTTTCAAGCACTGGAAAGGCATGGTCAAAGTCCAGACCTAAATCCCATTGAGAATCTGTGTGGCGACTTAAAAAGTGATGTTCACAGATGGTCTGAATGAGCTTAAACTATTTTGCAAATGAAAAAAGATATGATTATACCCCAATTACAGCAAGGTTACAGCGCTTTAACCCAGTGCTGCCAGTTACAGCACATTATGGAATGGAAATGTTCATTTACTGTCTGGAAAGCTGTACTAAATGAAATTTCTTTTGTATAAAGTCTTTTTATACAAGATGACAATAAAAGTTGTCTAAGTTTCAACTTAGAGGAAAATGGTTGCAAAAAATGACCGCAAGCAATATGATTATTCTTTCTTTACATTGCAGCTTTCCGTACTTTTAGTCTTCCTTATATTACACAGAATTCCATGAGTGTGAATGCTTTAGAAAGCACTTTGTGTGGGATAAAGATGAGTATAAATCTATTGATCCTTTGAAATCTGATTTTTTTTAAATACTAAAAGCAATTTCCAAAGTTTTTCACACACTGGCAAATTGTTAACCTTTGAAAAACTCCTTTCATATGACATCTTAACTTTGAGTACAGTGCTGCTGTAACACAACACACAAACCAGATGTGCTGCTTATTTTCTTCTTCTATAAAGTTTTGTAGACTCAAACCCAAGTAATTAGCGTGCAAATGATGTGGCTGCTTACTTCCTGAGCAACAAAAGCCAGCCAGCCAGTCAGAATAAAACTCCTTTTTTTTGCCTGTAAAATTATCATTATAACAAATAGGATAAACACCCTACAGCCTCATTAAACAATAAAAATAAAGGTGTTTTATTATGCTAAGCTGGTTACAGAAGCAGTGAGCGGGGTTATTCAGGGGTTTGCCCAGGCGAGACGTAACAAGCCCCGAAACACCAGAGCTCAGATTTGGTTTGTGAGGAGTTCTGGGCACGATGCCATCCAACTGGCATGGCTGTTTCCTGGGACCTGGCAGCTCCCAGAGGAGGCCTGTTACCAGGAGACAAGGTGCTCCTTCCCCTGCTAGATGTTTATTTACCACACTCCTCATCAAGGTCACAGCCGGTGACTCTGTGGCCCCAGAGAGGGACCAGGGAGGCACGTGGCCGAGGGAGCGACAGGCCTACAAAGGGGGACTGTGTGTAGGAGCCTATAATACCAATTTTTACTTAAAGCACAACATCAATAAAACCTCTTTGTAATAGATATAAATAATAATAAAATCTTTTTTTTGCCAGGTTCAGGCTTTGTTCACAGCAAGTGAAAAAATATCTTTTTATTGCATACATGGAATGTTAGACTACAGAGCGTTAAGAAAAGCAACCTTTTTTGAGTATGCTTATTAACTGATGCGAACATGTTAAGCTTTTGCATAAAAATCCATGTATTTCACTTCCACAGAGATCTATTTCTCTAGACTACTCCTCAGAATTGGGGAGACAAGAGGATATGCCTTTAAATTAAGCTGCATGTGTGGAGTTTTAAATCAGGTAAAGCTTTTAGGGTGCAGTTATTTACCTAAAGTTGCTCATATCTACAGTCAAAGCAAGAACTTAGGAGAAAAAACATCCGGAATTAGGCAAATACATCAGGAGTCATTTCATCTCGCCTCTATTGACTTTTTGGGTTCGTCTTTTGGTCAACATGTCTCCAAAGCCGCACTATCTGCATTTTAATACAGGAATAAAACATTTTCTGTCCCACGGCTCCCAGCGTTATTATGTGTAGTATATCCTCCATCCCATGTATATGGAGTGGAGGATTATTTGTGGGCTTTTTTTTTTTCCAATGGGAGTCTTAGTTAGGTTATTCATTTTTTTCAAAAAGTTTTGTGGGAGTGGCTTAAAGTGAGGTGCGCTCTATAGCGCGGAAAATACTGAAGCTTTTACAATGATGATCTATGTCTGAGTGAAGGGTGAAAAGAAAAGGGTAAAAGAGGGTTACAGAAATAATCAATAGCACTGGTTTCAACAGTTCCACTGGTTAATTTGTTAGAAATAACTATTTCTTCAGATTGAATTATTTTTTCAACTGAGATTTAATGGTTGGATAGGTCAATACTGCTGCAAAACTATTTTTCAAACTCTACTGGACATCAGTCTTGGCAACTGTTAAAGGAGAAGTTCGTTTTTTTACACTTTAAGCCCATTTTCTGTAGTGTCCAGGCTGAAATCGAATGA